GCGATTGCTCGTGTGAGTGAGCCAATCTTGCCTGCTAACATCATCATCTTCTAATCATTATGACACAAATCATAATAGTGTCAACATCCCATCATCTCAAAATGAGTGATCGATTTTAAAAAAATTTGACCACAGCTTGCGCAATTCTAAATTCCAACCATAAGTGGTGGTGGCGAGTGGGTGGTGAGTGGTGGTGGTAGGTGGTGGTAGGGGGTGGGTGGTGGTGGCGAAAGACGGTGGTGGAAAATTGTGGGGGGTGGTGGCTAGTGTTGGGTGGTAAAAAAAAAAAACTCAAAACGGAAACACATTTTTTGTGTTTTCATTTTTGGCCAAATTTATAAACTGGGACAACTGATTTATAAATCAAAAATTTTACCAAACAAGTTTTTATTTGAGTTTTTAAAATTTTTGTAAATATAAACAGAAAATTGAAAACGTAAGTGTTACCAAACGGCACCTACGTAATTGTGAGACAAATTTTTGTGTCGTTTTAATTTAATATTTACAAAAAAAATTGGTGAAAAATTTTAATGTAGTAAACATTAGATTTAATGAATATTTTATTTATTGGTGAGAGATTTACTTTTTATAAAATAATTTGGTGAAAAGTCATTTTGTTATTTTAAATGACATTTTTTTTTTCAATTTTACACTTTAGTGTATCTATTGACTTTTTTTGACTATTTATTTAATTTTTTTGACTATTTTTTCAAATTTTTCCTTTTATTTGTTTAAATATTTGTCCAAATTTTATTATCTGTTTAATTTTTTCCCTGAATTCTATCTATTCAAATCTCTCTTCTCTCTATCTATGTGTGTGTCTCTCCCTCTCCCTATCTGTTGCAATCTGTATCATCATTATCAACAATAACAGCAACAACAATAACAACAAAAAAGAACAATTAAGAACTACCAAAAAAAAATAAATGAATAGATCTTATATTTCAAAAATACACCAACAATAACAATCAAGAACTATAAAAAAATTAATTTTTTTTTTCTTCTCATTCTACTTATGATTCTAATTTTATTTTGGTGGCACAAATAGTAGCTGAGCAAAACCAACACGGTAATTGTGTTAGGTCGGATTGAACTAACACGGAGTACGATGTTGGGCCGAACTGAACCAAGCCAACATGGAACGTGGTGTCGGGCTGAGTTTAACCGAACCAACATGAAGCATAGTGTTTGACTGAGCTATCTGCGGTGGTGCAGCTATATGCGTCATGGCTAGGTTCCCAGATCGATTGACCTAGCGATGGATAGGTCAGACGAAGAGAGCAAACAAACCACATTGAAGCCGCGGTATACAGCCGAGTTAATAATAGTCATACTCGTTGTCGATCTGCTTGAAGGCATTGACTAAGTGCATCGCCGACCTGGAAGTCGGTATGCCTTGGCTCGACATTAGTATGTCCAAAGTCAATACCTTTGGTGCAATCCAAGTAATAACACAGTTAGGTATTTTCACGTGGACCAATGGAAAGGAATCTGCTCTTGGCATGTGTTAACACCGTTTGGTGGTTTAGCCAATACTGTTCGGTAGTATTTACATATACACGTGTGAGGAATGGAGAGGGCAATACAACCATGCATCCAACAAAGGATAACTAAGGTAGTGTGCGCACAATCTGGGACTGTATAGCCAGCCTAGAAAAAGAAGCATAAGCAGACTCTGTGACGCCCCAAATTTAAGGACATCATAATAAGATTTAGAAACTTAAAATCAATATTGCCACCAAGATTACTAACATCCATTAATTAACAACCCAGAATTTAAAGTTCTTACATCACAACTTAGTCTTAGTACATAACCGAAATGACACAAATATAAAAAAAAAAACTAGAGAAAAACTAGAATTTTTAGGAAATGGTTCATGGAACTTGGGCACTCTTCAAGCTAACCAAGGCTGAGTGTCGCCTTGCAAGGCCTCGGTGTCTCCTTCGATTTCTTCAGTACCTAGCATAAAACGCTAGGGCAACGAGAATGCCAATGAGCGACGAGCTCAATAAGATACTACAACCCGAAAATGTCCACCCCAATAATAATACTCACAATTCATGAATAATGTGTAATAACAGAATAACCAGTAACATTTAGTAAGCATAAAATAAATGTTATCAGTTGAAATAATAACAATAAATAATAATAAATCAAATAAAAATATAACAAACGGAAACAGTATTTCATCATAAGGAATATGTCTACATTTTTTTATTTTTTTTATTTTCATAGATTTAGTTTATCAGATAAATTTAGTAACTCCCCATGGAGCACTATTTCTATTCAACCACTAAGCAATGGCCACGGGCAATTCTGACTCCCCCTTGGTCAAATATTTAAATGTTACTTATTGTAACTACCAATGATGCCCACATACCAGAGTTACGTACCCGAGTCATGACATCACGGTCTGTCCTAAGGGAACGGTCTATGTTGTGACACCTGCACCACCAACCTTATATCGCCTACACCGATAAGAGCCGAAATACCTTCCCGTGCCATGTTAGGGTTCGCAACTCACTTGTGCAAGATTCTAAACCGGGCTCACTTCATCACTTTTACATTTTAATGTATCATTGGTTAAATTTCGTGTTTCTTTACTTGTTGAGATATTCACAAAAATTCAAAATTTAATTACCAATAATGTTATACCAACTCATTAGAATCCCAACATAAAATATTACATATGTCACACAATAATAAACAATTGTACAAAATTTAAATAAACAATTTATTTAAACCATG